ATAAATAAAAAGCAATCTCCTGCTTCAGTCTTCAGAGTTGCTGGGTATTATGGTTTAAATATTAGGTGTCACCCAAAAACTCATGTGTGAGACAATGTAAGAAAGTTTAGAGGAGAAATAATTGGGTTAGAAGAATTTTAATCTAATCAGTGCATTAATGCCCCCATAGGAATTAACTGGGTGGTAACCCTAGGCAAGTAGAATGTGGCTGGAGGAGGGAGGTCATTGCAACATGCCTTTGGGGTACATATTTTGTCCTTGGTGAGAGAAGTCACTCTTCTACTTTGTGGCGGTATCCTGAGCTGGTTGTCTTCTCCACACCCTTCTGCTGTGATGTTCTGCTTCACATTGGGCGCAGAGCTATGGGATTCACCATCTATGAGACCTCTGAAACTGTAAGCAACAAACTTCCTCCTCTAAAATTGTTCTTGTCAGGTTTTTTGGTCATAGCAGTGAAAAAGTTGACTAAAATACTGAGATGTACAGGTATATACCTAAGCACCTAGGTTTATTTACCTTTTTTAAAAAAAATTTTTGCAGGACTGGGAATTGAACCTAGGAGTGCTTTACCAATGAGTATATCTTTCCACTCCCCCATTTTTAAAAAATTTTGAGACAGGGTCTCCCTAAGTTGTTGAGGCTGGACTGGAATTTATTATCCTCATGCTTTAGTCTTCCCAGTATCTGGGTTTATACGTGTGTGTCACCTTGCCTGTCTATTTACCTTTTTTATGTTTATTGGATTACTGTTTGAATTATTGTTTTTTTTTGCTATTAAACTTCAGTGATATTTCCAAGATTTCCAATGCATTTAACAAAGTAGTTTTATCAAAAGTCTGCTTTGCTGATCTATGGGGGAATATTTAGAACAGGAGTCAGCAAACTTTTGATATAAATGACTAGATATAATAATTTTAGACTTTGGGGTCTCTGTTGTTCCTACTCAATTTTGCAGATAGAACATAAAAGTGGCCACAGATCTGATGTTAACGAGTAGGTGTGCTGTGGACCTGTCAGCAGCAGTCTGGATTTGGTCCACGGGCCTATACTGCTGATCTTTGATCCATACCAATATTCTTTTTGTGATTTCTCAGAATCTTCCTAGAATTTTCTGTTTGGATCCCTTTCCCAACACAAGTTTGAATTTCAATTATATATGGACAACAAATACTTTTTACTCTTGGGAAAATACTTTGAAATACCTATTAAATTACTAATAATATATAATACTCTCAAATCAACCTTTTTTCTTAGGGATAATCATCAATGTCATTTGAAAGTACTGCCTGTAGGGCTGGGGTCATAGCACAATGGTACAGTGCTTGCTTAGCATGTGTGAGGCACTGGGTTCAATTCTCAGCACCTTATATAAATAAATAAAGGTCCACTGACAACTAAAAAAAAAATAAAATAGGGGCTGGGCTTGTGGCTCAGTGATAGAGCGCTCGCCTTGCATATGTGGGACCCTGGGTTCGATCCTCAGCACCATTTATGTCATAAAAATAAATAAGTGAAATAAAGGTATTGTGTCCAACTATAACTAAAAAAAATTAAAATAAAAAAGTACTGCTTGCATGCCCTATTAATTAAAATGTTTGAACAACTGGCAAATTTTCAGCTATCCAAAAAGAGAAAATAAGCCTTAGTTTAAAATTGGCTATCCTTTAAAAATATATCATACTGAGAGAATGTTTTGCTTAAAAGTCTTCTTTGGCTTCCCACTTTTCTTAAAGACAAATTCTTTGGCATAGCATACAAGGTCATTCATAAATTGGCCTCAATTTACCTCTTCTGTTTTATTTCTTATTATTCTTTGATCACACTCTAAAAGAATAAAAAACATGAAAGACAATATTGTACAAAAACTGGTAGATCAACAACTTAAGGATAGTAGCTACTTCTGGAAAAAGAACAGTACTGAGGGGTACCCTAGTGATTTCAACTATGTATGAGATTATTTTTTAAGACTGTAACGCTAATGATAATGAAAACACTAAAGCTGAGATCTGAAACAAATATGGCAAAACATTAAGATTGGATAAAACTATGTGGTAGGTGATAAGAGTACTTTTTATATGATTCATCACACTTTTCCATTTGCTTAAAACAAATGTTGACAAACTACAGTCCATGGGCCAAATCTGGCCCACTGCCTGTTTCTGTTAAGTCTTGGAGCTAAGGCCAGTTTTATATTTTTAAAGAATTGTTAAAAAGAAAAAAAGAAAGAAAAAATACAAAGAAGACTTGCTGCACACAAAGACTAAAATATTTACTAAAATATTTAAAATACTTTCACAGAAAAAGTGTGCCAACTACTGATTTAAAACATTTCATGAGAAGAGAAGATTAAAAGAAAAAGGAGAGGCGACTGAATTCAAGGTGTGTGTCACCTTGGAAGAATGGTTTGCCTTTTTGCATTAAGCATCTGCCTGAATGAAACATCTTATATTACCTTTCTCTTTAATATTAGCTTTCATTAATAATTTTTTTCAATTTTTATCAAGCAGAAATCTTTTCAAATTTTTTTCTATTATACTGGAATTCACTTAAAAGAATATTGAAAGACAGTATATTCATCAGATTCTGATTTCAGTCTGTAGTTGTAAAAAACTGGGAAGCTCATGTAGATCTCAGTGCAGCATTTTTAGTATACTTAGACTGGGGATATCAAAGGGATCTACTCCCCAGCTATCTCGTTTTTTCACAGGGGATAATGGAGGAAGAGGGTTGAATAAAATTCAAAATGCTGTATCACAATAGAAGCTTCTGGATAATGATTATAAAGTTATGAAATAGGTCACCCAAAGAAGTAGACATTTTTATTTTAATGGACAAGATTATTTTAGGGAAATTAGTGAGATAATATATCTACATGTCTTAGCATGCTTTAGCTCACAACAACTGATAGCTCTCAGGACATTATTATCATTTGGGGATTGCTATATAGGTATTTTCTTTCCTTTATAAAATATTAACCATATTAGTATTTTCTGTGAATATGAAAATATTTTTTCATAATGTTTATAATTAATTCCTACAGTTTTGCTTTCTGTGATGACCCAAGTTAATTAAAGAGATTAAAATTTATGGGGCTAGGGTTGTGGCTCAGTAGTAGAGTGCTTGCCTAGCATGTGCAAGACACTGGGTTCTATCCTCAGCACCATATAATAAATAAATAAATAAATAAAATAAAGGTATTGTGTCCAACTACAACTAAAAAAAAATTTAAAAAAATTTGTGAAAACACAAATGAGACTCATATAGAGATTTTACAGTGAATGTCTGAGGATATTCAGACCCAAATCACCATTTAACAATCTAAGGTATGTATTGTTTTAGACTTAAATGTCACTGGCCAACTAAAAATACACACAAAACATATTGAGTAAAAGTGATCCATCTGATCATAATATGCCCTTTTTTCTGATCAAATAAAAATTTTAAAGAGAAGGCTAAAATAATATATAATTGGATTTTTAATTTGGTCACATATATGCTACGTCTAATTCTCAAGTTTTAAAAATTTACCATGCAACATTAAAGAATATATAAAAAGGCATAAATATTACAACAAAATACTTAGGGATATGCCACCCAGATTATGAAAGAGAACATCACACTTCTGAGGCCCCCTGACACACCCTTCTTTTGTTGCATCTTTTCCTCACCCAGGTTTAACCACTGTTTTAAACATTGTATTTCAATAGACAGTAGTATTGCTATATGTATATACGTGGCTGTATAACCAATGTGATCCTGCAACCTGTACACATGGAAAAATGAGAATTCAAACCCCATTTGAATCAAATGTATATGTCAAGATTATTGTATTGTCATGAGAAACTAATAAAAAAAATTAAAAAAAACATTGTATTTGGCGTATCCATGTGTTTATATTTCTTACACAAATGCACACCTCAAAATAATTCATATTATTTTACAATTTGATTTTGTTGATTTGGCTTTATGTCTGAATCCACCCATGCCAACATGTGGTAGAGATAATGCTTACCAAATAGTCTAAGTGTTTCTGTATGTTTCATAGGTTTTAGGTTGGAAGACCTGGAGTATGATTTGAAGTGAACAGTGCTGTGTCAGGGGATGAGATAGTTAAAAACCCATCCCTTTCTTCCCCATGCTCCAGTGAACTCATAAGTCACATATTCCAGATAGGGAAATGGAGAAACAGTAAGAACATGGATCTTCCATCAGCCTGGGTCCTTGAAAGAGGTGACAAAGAGCCCCCTGCTAACCTATAGACTTGTGAAATGAAAAAGGAATAATCTTGTTGCCTTAAGAAACACATACATATAAGTGGGCAGATAATCGCTTTTCTGGGCTATAAGTAGGAGGATAGGTTAAAAATCTTTTGAAAATACTTCTGTGATTCTAGAATAATATTTATTTATTATCACTTGCATGGAAAAGCAAATTTCATATATTCTAGCCTTGACCTTTTTTGAAGATCTGTTGCTTTAACAACAGATGCATATTTTCAGATACATGCTCATGTATTATTTTAGGAATGTTAGTTTTGTCTCCCCAACCAGATTTTAAGTTCTTTAAGAGTCATGTCCTCTCTTGTACCCTACTGTACACCTTATAAGAGTCTACAAAAGCATGAAATAAGTACTGATCTCTTGGTTGCCTGGGAAGGATGAGGACTGTTAGCCAACTTGAATAAGAATTGTGCTGCAATCCTTGTGCTTAACATACATTGTCTTGATCCTATTTCCACTATACACAATAAGATATAAAGGTTAAGTAGCTTTCTTTGGTCATGGATTTGTATCAAAGAAGATGAAGGGTATAAAGAAGGCAGCTGAAGCCAGACAGCTTGACTATAAAGCCTTTGCTTTTTACTTACTGAACGTAGGTGAGATGATTTTTAATATAAAAAAATGAAGCAATTAACAAAAATAGTTTTTGTTTATAAAATGTGCAAACATTAACACACTTCTTTGGAGACTTCTCAGCACTCAAGATTGTTAGGTCCTTACCTTGATCACTTCTGGCGTCTGCTGAATCAGAACCACTGAAGTTGTATCTTTGGCTTTATCACCAACAGGACTTCTACAGACTGATAAATTGGCTTGAGAGGAACTCGTCAAGGTCTCCTGTAGAATTTGCATCATTTCCTTTTCTTGTGATAGACTCCCTCTGCCTGATTTGCATTCAACTAGTTCTTGAGCAAAGTCTTCAATGCTTTCCAGGATTCGCAGTAAGAGGGCTCGATCCTCTTCCTCTATTTTATGTCCATTGTTTTCAATAATCTTTGTTAGACAGGAAGGTGAAACTTTTTCCACAGGTGAAGACACTTTAGATTTAGGCTCAAGATCTACAGGGATTTTACCAGTTAAATGACTGTGAATATTTTCAGAATTGGAGTTTTTACCTTTGGCAAGTGGCTGTCTTAAAGATGTCTCCATTTTCTGTGAAAATGATTCCAAATCCATTAACAATTTATCTATCTCTTCCTGACTGTTAGGGTTCATAAAATCTCTCTGGTCTCCTGCTTCCACTTTAGGAACGTTTGATTCAGGATCTTCCTCAGGTAGATGAGCAATTGGTTTCTCAAATATCTTACCAATTTCATTTTGCATTGCTGCAGGACATTTTTGAAGATGAGTAACATTGTCTAAAAATTCTGCTCTATGTTCATTTACCTTTAACAATTCCTGATCGGGACCATTCTCTGTCCTTTGTCCTTTATCTAATAATGCCTTCTTTCCATCTGACTCTTCTTCAATATAAAGAGTTTCCACTAAGTCACCAGAAGAAACATTCTCTAAAGGGTTCATGGTTAATGGCAGTGATTGAAGCTGGACAGTTTTTATAGTTCTGGGATCATTTACTTCTAAGCTATATAAGGAATTTGTGTTTGGAATGGCTTTTATACTGTCTGTTATCCTAGAATTATGCTTGTCATCTTGCAATTCGAGAGTTTGAAACTGTGAAGAATCAGGGGTTGAGAGCTGGACAACATCTTCATATTTAGGGGGCTGTTCAGAGCCATATATTGGGGAAAAGGGAGTCAGTTGTAAGGTAGGCATATTATTGACCAGTTCTGTGAAATCTATGGTCTCGTTATTCCCAGATTGCATGAATTCAAATGGTAACTTTTTCAGATAGGATGCTAACCTGGTCATTACATTCATATAGACAGTTTCGGAGCTAGAAATTGCATCATTACCACTTCCTTCACTAATGTTACCTCCTGACTTTTTCTTTATGCACTGTTTTATGATATCTGTGCATTTTTTCAAATCCTCAGAGCATTTCAGTAAGATGTCCAAGCACATTTTTATGTCAGTCCCAGAAGAAAAAGAATCTATTTTATGTTTTTCCAAAATCTGAGTAACAAGATCTTCTTCAGAGAAGTTCTGAAAGAACATGGAAGTCAGGTTTGCATCAAGTGAGTTTCTATGGGATAAAGATTTTTCCTCAACTGAGGAACTCCTAAGTAAACCCAAGGATGGGGAGGTCCCATCATTGTTATAATGACCACAGAGCAAGTCAAAGTCAACTGACCTCCTGTTAAATGAGTCAGACTTAACTTTCCTTCCCTTTTTGTAAGTTGCATGGTTAGAGTTTTTGAGTTTTTCAAGGGAAAATTCTTTTATTTTTCCACTGGCAAAACTGATTGCTTCTCCAGCAATGTCCTTTAAATTACAGGTATTCTGAAATGTGGATACTTTCTTGACTCTCGGTATGCCTGGGAGGACCTGATGTGGATAGTCACCTTCAGTAGAGGAAAGCCCATTTTCATGGGGTAAAAATACAGAGTTCAGATCTGCATCTTTGAATTGAGACACAGGGATATGCAAAAGGTCTGCACAAACGCTATGGTGTACCACAATGCAGTCAACTCCATGTGTGAAGGTGTGGCAGGTTCCAGTGCAATAATGTATAGCTTGTTCGAAACGTCGGTCTATCACCACGCTGCTGTAGTGGTTCACAGTACTAACCACAAGTCTGTAAGTTGCTGCCATAATACCAAATCTACTTAGTGGTGGGACTTGGAACGTTCTAGAACTTGTTTCAAGAAAATTCTCCTAAATGACACTTAGTTGAAAATATATTTAATGAGAATGTTTAGTGGTTTCTTGCCACTATACAATTTTTCCCATGAAGAGAAACCCTTTAAATTTGAGGTTTGGTAACCATCAGTGTCAGTAGCTGTTGCACATTAATACAAGCTGTGTGCTTGTATTAACAAGTCTAATAATTTAATAATGTGCTTTTTAGTTTTATTTAGTAATATGATACTATAATATTTTTATGAAAGAATGTCCTTTTTTAGTTCTTCAGCAGTTCTATAATGAGGAAATTTATTGTCATAAATTTACTGCCATAAATCTTAGTTGGTAGTATAGAAGTATTGTGATAATTGAGTTCTCCAAAGGTTTAAAAACTCCATTTTCTGTATAGAGAAACCTATAATAAAAGAAGAAAACAATTAAAAGGAAATATGATTTCTTAATATAAAGCATTTATTTCTTCTTTCTTTGCATCCTGCATGCAGTTAATCACTAACCCCTATTCTCTGCCACATCACTGATTGCTGATTCAGTATAGGCCTTTGTTTTGTCACACTCTACCCTCCTTACTACCTAGAATAGTAATACCTCAACTCTGCCTTGTTGTGTCTGCCTCCCAGTTGATATTCCTTATCCCACTCTCTTGGCTCCCTTATATGTCACTAACCTTCGCTTTGGATAGCTTTCTTGTCTTTCAAAGCTCAACAATTCATACATTGATTACTATTGTGGAAATTCTTTTTGGTGGGGTGGGTCAGGGTACCAGGGATTGAACTCAGGGGCACTCAACCACTGAGCCACATCCCCAGCCCTATTTTGTATTTTATTTAGAGACAGGATCTCACTGAGTTTCTTAGTACCTTGCAGAGTTGCTGAAGCTGGCCTTGAACTCGTGATCCTCCTGCCTTAATCTCCCCAGTCGCTGGAATTATAGGCATGTGCCACTGAATCTAGCAGGTTCTATCTCTTTTGATTTACTTTCAAAACCTTCAACATCTGTTCCCATCCACCTAACTTTATTTTCTATTTTTCCCCTGCAGTAACCTTTTGCTTCCATTGACCTAGTCTGATCAAAGACTGCCAATACATAGTGCTGAAACTTCCTTTGTACTCGGAAATTATTTTATTGTTTTTCTTTAGAGAATAACAGCCTTCATTACTGTTATTAATCCAAACCTCCTAGACCCTGTTCAATGCAGATATTTCTCTCTCTTCATTAAGTAGACACAATTTACTTAATCATTCTCCTACATTAAAAAACATGGCTTTCAGAACATGTTATAGTTGCTTTCCATAAAGATTCTATCAATGTAACCATTCAATAAATAAATACCAAGTGCCTACTATATGCCAGGCTCTAAGTAATACAGCAGTGACTAAAACAAAGTCCCTGCTTTTATGGAGCTGACAATCTAGTTGGAAAAAGAAAAATAACATGTAAATAGGCATATAACTTATTTATGCTGATATATGTTATGGAGAAAAATGAAGGAGGGAAAGATAAAGTTGGAAGGTGCTGTTTTATAAAGAAAAGGAAGACCTCAATGACCTTCTGAATAGAGACTTGAAAGAAGACAGGGAGCAGGTCAAGGAAGTGTTATCAGATAAATCCACTTTAGGCAGAATAATCATAAGTACAAAGGCACTGAGGTAGGAGCATGCTTTATTTACTAGAAGGAGACTAAAGTGGTAGGAGCTGAGAAAGCAAGGGGGGAAGTGTGGGGCACAAGACATGAAAGGTGGAAGTCTATATTATGCAGGGTCTGTAGATCATTATAATGAAACTGGCCTGAGCTCTGAGAGAACCAGGAAACAACTGATGGCTAACTGAACAGAGGAATGACATGATCACTCACATTTTAAGTTGGTGAATTTTGGCTGTGTGTTCAAAGATGCAGAGATGTAAGATAAGAAGGAGGGAAACAAGTTAGGTACTACTGCAATGATCCAGACAAGTAGGTTGGGGGCCGGGGCTATGGCTCAGCAGTAGAGTGCTTGCCTAGCACATGTGAGGCGCTGGGTTCCACCCTCAGCACCACATAAAAATAAATAAATAAAATAAATATATTGTGTCCAACTACAACTGAAAAAAAAAAAAAAGAAGGCTGGGGGGCTTGGACCAGGATAGCTAACTGTGGAGATGTTCGGATACTGTATTATTTCAAAGATACAGCCAATACGATTTGCTCAAGGATAGAATGTGCCACACTGTCGAATCAAGAATGGTGCAATAAAGCAATGACAGGAAGCAGATAATGAAAGCAATGAAATAGAGTATAAGCTTCATTGCACCATTACCAGCATATTTTAACAATAAAAAATATTTACCTATTTAATAATGAGAAACTCAACTTCATTATTTTTATATTTTACTTCTTTAATCCTAGAAAATTTTATTTTGCTTTTTTTATTCTTTGGTAAACTATCTATTCTTGACCTTTACACATATACATATTGGGGACTTGTGAATTACAGAAACAATAAATACAAATAATTCATGAATAATCTTTTCTTGTGTTGAATTCTTATACTGGTTAAAATAAAATTGCTGGTTCCTTGGATCCAACGATAACTGTTTTTATGCCAGTACTACACTACTACATTACTGTTGCTTTATTAAGTTCTACTACCCTTGGCAACGTTCCCCATTTCCCTAATTATGGTTCTTTTTAACCCTCTAAATGTTCTTCCTTGATCTTCCATATGAATTGCTGAATTATCAATTTCAAGAAAAATCTTATTGGAGCTTGATTACAATTGCAATAAACTTATGGATTATTTGAAGAACACTGACATAATATTCAGATTTTCTATCCAGGAAGATATAAATCTTAATCTAATATTTGTTTAGATTAATTTCTCTCTCTCTGCAGTTTTCTTCAGCTGGGTCACACACTATTCATCTATTTCTTAGTGTCTTAACTCTGTTGTTATGTGAGTGTATCTTGAACTATTATTCATTCCTCCATTCCCTTGTCTTTAAATCTCAGGTAGTAGATTATAAAAAAACTAGATATATTCAGGATGGATGAAACTGAAGCAGAAAGAAGTTCCATAATAAAGGAGGTACCTAGTAATTTTGAAGTGAAAATACAAAGAAGACAAAGAGGAAAAAGTCTAATGGAACAAAAGATGAGAACATGGCAATGAAGGAATTACATTTTCAAAAGGTTTATATCCAGAACACAGGAAAGAAACAGCACCTTTTAAAAAAATTTATATATGACAGCAGAATGCATTACAATTCTTATTACACATATAGAGCACCTTTTTTAGAAATATAAAAATTTTGAAGAGCTTTTGGGTAAGGATAAAAGAGAAAATAAACACAAATGATAATGTCAAGAAAGTATTGTAGGGTAACTATATGAGATATTAGGATTACTTCCTAATACAGTTGATAAAATTGGTCCAGAGGCAAAATACGTGAGTGTGGAAAAATTTAAATATCCAATTGTCTATCAGTATCTGATAAATTCCTAAACTGACATAAAACAGGGTTTTTTCCTCTGAAATTTCAGAAAGTAAAGAGGTAAAATATTTTCCTAATCCAAAACAACTGGTTAATAAGGTATCATAACAGAAAGTACAAGAAAGCATTCGATTATATTGGAATGTGAAATAGTCAAAGAACAGAGAACATACACTGTCCAATAAAACTTCCTGAGTTGATGGAAATATTCATCTACACTACCCTATATGGCTATTATTAGCCACATGGGGTCATTTTTAATGTGCTTAGGGCAACTTAAGAACTGAATTTTATTTATTGTTTAGAAAAAAGCTTTAAATTGTAAAATCTTTTTCTTGGGGTGTGTGTGTGGGGTGGGGACGACTTCAATTTGAACCCAGGGGCATTTTACCACTGAGTTAATCCCCAATAGTTTTTTTTTTTCTTTTAATTTTGAGACAGGGTCTCACTAAATTGCTCAAGTAGCCTGAAACTAGTGATCCTTCTGTCTAAAACCTACTGAGCTACTGGGATAATAGGTGTGTGCTACCATGTCCAACTAAATTGTGAAATCATTTGAGACTAATGCAGAAGTTGCAAAAATAGTCCAGTTCCTGTAAACCCTTTCCCCGTTTCCTCCAGTGATAACATTCTACATCAATGCAATACAATGATCAAAATAAAAAAACTGATATTAGTACTATTAACCAGAGAACTTATTTTTTTTCAATAATTTTCCATGTACTCACTCATTCTTTCCTCTCACTTTTTATAACAATTATTATTATAATCAGAATATAAAACTGTTCCATCATCCCCCCAAAGGCCCCATACAACCCTTTTGAAGTTACATGTTCACTTCAACCAGAACTTCTGGCAAACACTGATCGGTTCTCCATTACTATAACCTGTTATTGAAAGAAAATTTTTTTTTTCAGTACTGGGGATTGAAACCAGGGCCTTGTGCATACTAGGCAAGTGCTCTACTACTGAGCCACAACCCCATTCCTAAAATATTTTCTATAGAATCATATAGTATGTAACCTTTTAAGACTGATTTCTCTCAATATTTCACACTGTCAGGCATATCAATTGTTCATCCATTTTTACTACTGAGTAGTGCTGTGTTGTGTGTGTGTGTGTATACACACACACACACACACACACACATATATGCACACAGAAACATACATTCCACTATTTGTTTACCCATTCATCCATTAAAGGGTCTTTATGTTATATCCAATTTGGGCCATTATTGCATGGGTTTTTGCGTGAATGCTGTTTCCATTTTTCTAGAGTAAATACCTACAGGTATGATTGCTGGATTTTATGATAAATATATCTCTAACTTTGTAAGAAACTACCAAACTGCTTACCAGAGTCACTGAATCATTTTACATTCTCACTAAATGTATGAGGAACATGGTGGATTCTATATTCTTGTTAGTATTTGGTATTTTCTATTTTAGCCAATCTGATTGGTATATGTATTATCTTACATTGCTTTAACTTACATTTCCTTAATGGATAATGATTTTGAACATCTTTTCATGTGCTTATTGACCAGCACCATATCTTCTTGGAGAAGTGCCTGTTTAAACCTTTTGCTATAGATACATAAAGTTAGGGATTACCATATTAAAGCAGTTCTAGATAACAGAAAAGCAACTTTCAGAAATTCTTTAAAAGCAAATATGAAGAAAAAAAGATGACAATAATGAAGGTTGGTAGGTTTTAAAAATGAAATCTGACTTGTCTATTATGAGTTATATTACTGAAAAGGAAAAAAAAGTAGCGAGAAAATGTAAACTAATTATAAATTTAGGGCCTTGAGTTAACATTTTAAAAGGCCATGAACAGCAGAAAGCCAGGCCCCAAAGGGTGGCCCCAACTATCAATGAGAAGTCTACATTCTAAAATGATCTGAGTTTTTAAAAAAATGCCA